ACGGCATAGGCCTGGTGAGGCGGAGCAGGATATCCATCAGCCGTTGGAACGTGGCAGGTGTCCCGTGCAAGCCGAAGGGAAGTACCCGGTACTGCAAGTGGCCACTGGGGGTGCTGAAGGCTGTCTTCTCCTGGGAGCTTTGGGTCAAGGGCACCTGCCAATAGCCTTTAGTGAGGTCTAAGGTGCTAATGTACTGGGCTTTGCCTAGCCGGTCGAGGAGCTCGTTCACTCGGGGTATGGGATATCCGTAGAAGGCCGAGACTTCATTGAGCTTCCGGAAGTCATTACAGAAGCGGAGGGTGTTGTCCGGCTTTGGTACCAGGACAATCGGGCTGGCCCAGGGGCTGCGGGAGGGTTCAATGACCCCGAGTTGAAGCATCTTCTTTATCTCCTCCTCTATCTTCTGCTTCTGGTATCCGGTAGGGCCGCTGCCGCACCACGACTCCCGGCAGGGTGCGGACCTCGTGTTCCACGACCGTTGTTCTCCCCGGGGTCTCCCTGAACACATCTCTGAACTGACCGACCAGGGCCTCGAGGTCCATCTTCTGGGTCCCCGACAGCTGTGGGTCCATGTCGACAACCGGGGCCTGCAACTGGGCCAGAGCGGCCAGTTGTTCGGGCTGGCCCGTCCACTTCTTGAGGAGGTTGACATGGTAAATCTGTTCGGCTCTCCTCCGGCCCGGCTGCCGAACCCGATATGTGACCGGTCCCACCCATTCCACGATGGTGTAGGAACCTTGCCAGGTTGCCAAGAACTTGGAGGCTGCGGTGGGGACCAACACCGTCACGCGGTCCCCCGGATGGAATTCACGAGCTTGGGCGGGCCGGTCATACAGATGCTGCTGGGCACGCTGGGCGGTGACCAGGTGTTCTCGAACCAGCGGCATTACCCTGTCGATCAGTTCCCCTTTATCTCCCGTACGTGCTCTATGAGGCTGCGGTTTGGGGTAGGTTGGTTCTCCCAGGCTTCACGTGCCACATCCAGCAGCCCCCGAGGCTGTCTCCCAAACAGCAATTCGAATGGGGTGAACCCCGTGAAGGCTTGGGGTGCCTCGTGGATGCCGAACAGCACGTACGGGATCATTAGGTCCCAGTCGCGCCCATCTTCGGCCACGAGCCCGCGTAGCATTTGCTTGAGCGTCTGATTGAACCTTTCAACGAGCCCGTCCGTTTGGGGGTGATAGATTGACGTTCTCAGCTGTTTTACTCGGAGGAGGCGGCAGAGGTCGGCCATCACCCGGGACATGAACGGGGTGCCCTGGTCAGTCAGCACTTCCTTGGGTATCCCGACTCGGCTAGCCAGGAGAAACAGCTCACGGGCGATGTTCTTAGCGTTAGCTCCACGCAGGGGGATGGCTTCGGGGTAGCGCGTGGCGTAATCCAGGACCACCATGATGTGTTCGTGACCCCGGGCCGACTTTGGCAGTAGCCCCACCAGATCCATCCCGATCCGCTCGAAGGGCACGTCGATGACGACGGGGGGCCGTCCGCTGGCACGTTGGGCAGCTGCGACAGAACCGTTTCACCTCGGCGTCCAATCCCGGCCAGTGGAACTGGTCCCGAATGCGCTGTATGGTATTTTCCCCTCCCAGGTGGCCGGCCATTGGATGAGCGTGGGCCAGCTCCATCACAGTTTCCGTCTTGGTCTTGGGTACCACTAAGAGCAGTTTGTCCTCCCCCCGCCTGTGGGCGACACAGTACAGCAGGTCATTCCTGATCACGAAGTGAGGGAGGTGGTGTGGGCCAGGCAGTCGATCCACGTCATCCACACGACATACCCGTTCCTAGCAGTTACGCAAGCGGTCATCCTCGCGCTGTTTCCGGCCGAAGGACCCTCCCGCCGTGATCTGTTGAAACACATCGAGATAGACAGCAGGAACATTAGCCGTGTTTGACTCACCCTCCCTTGCGCTGTCCGACGTGAGTAACACGGGCCTTCGGGTGGCCGGTCCCCGACGCTTCCTCCGTTGCCTCCCTTGACCGGGGCTGGCCGTTTGCCTGGGGGAGACGAGCAGCTGCTCGAACCCAGGCCAGTCTCGTCCCAACAGCAGTGGAACCGGAAGATCACGCACAATGCCCACCTCCACAGCCCAGGTTCCGGGCCCAGCCAAGATCTGCACTGTGCGGGCCGGCACATAGCGGGTGTCCCAGTGGACACACGTGAGGGGTAGTTCTGCTTTCCGTTCGGGCCGCGGCCTAACCAGGGTAGGCTGGGCGAGGGTGACTGAGCTGCCGGAGTCCAACAGCGCCCGGACGGGCCTTCCATCGAGTTTTACCATCCTGCTGGGGCCGGGAGGGGGCTCCTCTCTATGGAGTACACACCCGGCCAGCCACATTCAGCCCGTTGGGGCTGGGGGTTCGGTGGGTATTGGCTCGTCGACGTGGTCGGGGACCGCCGGCCTGCTGGCTGTGCGCTGTGTCCCTTCGAGCGGCCGCCGCTCCATCACCCTCCGGGGCACCAGGGCCGCTCTCTCTCCGGCGTTGCGGGCGTTCGTTGCCTCGGCCAACTCCACAGCCTCGACGAGCTCTTCCATGTCCCGCGGGTTTCTCATACTGACCGGGCGTCTCAACGGGCGGGGCAGGGCCCGCAACAGCCGATCCCGTATGACCCTCTCGGCCACCGCATTGGCGGACGGCGAATCCGCGAGCAGCCAGAGATGGGCCAGGCGCGCAAGCTGGGCGGCTTGGGCTCATATCGTCTTCCGTTCGTCATAAACCCACTGGTGAAACTGGTGTGCTGCACACAGGGGAGACAGGCCCACCCGGGTGAGGATCTCGACCTTGAGCTCATCGTTCATCTCATTTCAGGGAGCCTGGAGGGAGTAATAGGCACGCTGGGCTTCCCTCGTGAGAAAGGGGGCGATGATCCGTGCCCATTCCTCTTTCACCCACCCCTCTCGGGTCGCAATGACTTCGAAGGTATGGAGGTAGGCCTCGACATCATCCTGATCGGAGAGTCGGACGAGATGCTGGTGGGCTTTGCTGGCCCCCTCCGGGAGGGTATATATATATATGTGTGTGTGTGTGTGTGTGTGTGTATGTGTATTTGTATGTATGTGTATATATGTATATATGTGTGTATGTGTGTGTGTATGTGTATGTATGTGTGTATATGTATATGTGTATGTGTGTATATATATATGTGTGTGTGTATGTATGTGTATATATGTATATGTGTGTATGTGTGTGTGTGTATGTGTATGTATGTGTATATATGTATATGTATATGTGTGTGTGTGTATGTATGTGTGTATATGTATGTGTATGTTTGTATGTGTATATATGTACAGTGCCGGGAAAAGGTTTTTGCCCCCTTCCTGTTTTTTTAATTTTTTGAATATTTGTCACACTTAAAAGATTCAGATCATCAAACCAATTTTAATATTACGCAAAGATAATGCAAGTAAATACAAAATGCAGTTTTTAAATGATAATTTCATTTATTAAGGGAAAAAAGCTGTCCAAACCTACGTGGCCCAACGTGAAAAATTAATTGCCCCTCCTGTTAAATCATGAAAGAACTGTGATTAAGCACATTATTTTAGAAAGCGGAGTTAAATTTCACTAGCCACACGCAGGCCTGATTACTGCCAGACCTGCTGAATCAAGAAATCACTTAAATAGAAGCTGTCTGACAAAGTGAAGCATGCTTAAAGAGCAACACATCATGCCGCGATGTAAAGAAATTCAAGAACAGATGAGAAACAAAACAGTTGACATGTATCAGTCTGGAAAGGGTTATAAAGCCATTTCTAAGGCTTTGGGACTCCAGCGAACCTCGGTCAGAGCCATTATCCACAAATTGAAAAAACTTGGAACAATGATGAACCTTCCCAGGAGTGTCCGGCCGACCAAAATTACTCCAAGAGCGCAACGACGACTCATCCAAGAGGTCATAAAAGAACCCAGAACAACATCTAAAGAACTGCAGGCCTCACTTGCCTCA